AATCATTGAGAACAGATAATACATTTTTGGTAGAATTGTCATTTTTATTGCTGCTATCTTGCCAATTATGGAGATTGGAATGTTAAGCCATCGAAGCAAATCGTCTTCTATTTTTTAGCAGTGGTGTGAAGTTGAGTGTTACCAACTCTGACAGTCTGGGGGAGATCTTAATGCCTAAGTAAGTGATGTGATCATGACATATAGGTATAAGTGATTGGTGGGGTGCCACATCCAATTTGGTTTTATGTAAAGGGAGGATGGAATATTTGTTCCAGTTTATTGCGTAATCTGAAATTTTTGAGAAGGACTGGATTATTTCTTGAGTAGATGCTAAGGGCTCTTGTACAAAAAGTAGAATATCATTTGCTTAAAGTGAGATTTTATGTGTTTGTTGTGGTTGTTACTGGGTTTTGGTGGATAGCTGCTGCTAATAGTTCAATAAAAATAATGAATAGGGATGGAAAGAGTTGACATCCCTGCCTCGTCCCCCTCTATGGTGTGAAGCTTTGTGATGTTAGTCCATTGGTTGTAACTGTGGTTATGATTGGTTGAGGCAGATGGAATATTGTGCCAACCAGATAATGTACTCAGTAAAGGATTTGTTATCATGGAGTCAGGTCGGCGGTATTATGTGCCAATATGGAAAACTAACCACTATGCAAACTCATTCATTCCTTCTGCTATAAATTAAAAAAAAAAAAATGGTCCATGTGTAAATGTGAGGATGTGATTAATTATTTCTTCTTTTTCTCTTTTATACATTGTGTTCTAGTGCATTTTAACTATTATGGATGGGTTGGCTGTAAAAGTGAATTGCCCTTTGTTTCATATTATTGTTGCAGAGTTTGTGCTCAGTACAGTGTAATCAAACTTTAGCCAAGAAAATGTCACATTAACAGAAATAGGCACAAATGTCAGGGCATGTCAAAACAGCGGTTTTGGAAAGAGGTAGTTTTAGCTCTGACAGTGTTCATTCAGAAGTGGTCTGCCTGTCTTTGCATCCTCTCTAATCTCAGATGACACAAAAGCCAACCAGTCAGCTCTGCTTTGAGACTATTAGTGTTGTGCTCTAGTCCTGCACTGATAAAAACCAGATAACGCACCTCATGTGAGGACAGGGGTCACAAGGTCTATAAAACATCTCTTCAGAAATTTAGATTTTTCTTAATAATCAGTTACTATATACTATACTTATATAGTAACTGATATAAGAAGGCACTAGTGTGAAGGTGTGCGTGTGTGTGTGTGTATGTGTGTCAAGCCATTTCTCATCTGCTGTAAAAATATAAAACATTCTTGTGTAAAACCATCTAAGTTTCAGAATTGTAATAGCTCCGAACCCTTTTCTCATGTGCTTGCAAATACACCAGATATTGTTGTGGTTAATGAAGAGATCAGCGAGGCTGCATGTACCTTTGACTCGAGTATGGATGGAAGAAGCCTTTTTGAGTAAGATGATTAAATATCAACCGCTCCTAAACATCATCTCAGAGTTAGGTTATCAGAGCTGACTTCTTGTGCTCATATTTGGCAGTTTAGGACACACACACACAGGCTGGTTGTAAGAGGGCTTCAACAACGAGGGATGCCCAAAAAGAGGGCTAAACGGCTAGCAAAGTACTGCGCTCTGTCTGCTATTGTAGGCAGCCGTCATATCTGGCGGAGACGATGCTACTTGTATCCATAAACAACTGAGTGATGCTAAATATTGTGAAGATCTGCTATATGCCACTGGTCCTTGATATGCATTTGACTGCATCTATAGTGTTTGTCCCTGTAAATCATTTCTTTCACTTAATAAATAGTTAAAATGTGTGTGTGTGAGAGAAATGATTCAATGTCAAACTAAGATCAATCTGTTTATTCGTTCCTTATTTGATGGTTTTGCTGCGGGTCATAAGATGAGCCGTAAATCTTTTTTTCCCACATGCCCATGACATTCTCAGGCACTTTGGCGGACAGAGGCAGGATGTTTAAACTAAAATGTATGACTCACATTTAGTTTTCCACAAATCAATAGTAAGCTCCTTTGTTGTTGAATGATGAAATTACAATGTTATGTGTTGTGCTAGCAAAACATTCTCCATATTAGGTTTAATTCTCATATAGTCTTCCTCCCGCTGCCTGATCTTCCCACAATCACGGGAAGCTGTTGCATGCTGCGATTCATCAGCGCCCTTTTCTTCACCCACTGAAGCCAATGAATAGTGTTCTGGTTCCCATGGCGATGGCTATTTTTTCCTCTGATTAAGTGGAATTTGCTGGTACCTTTTAGCCCATCATATCCTAAGGGTTATACAGTAATGAACCGAGGACAATGCAAATGGAAGAGGCAGAGACAGGGGGTGGCAGCAGGGCAACTTTTGAGATCAAATGAAGCAGGAATGTATCTTTTACACTGACCTTGGATAATTATCAAAAGAAACTTAAAGAGATCTCCACTGCCACCTAATGAACTTAGTATAATATAAAAAGAAAAGAAGAACTGGACACAGCTGGCTACTTTTGATAATGTCTGAGGAACGAACAGTTTAACAATTTGATTGAAAGGGAAACAGTAGGTGTTTTTACTGTTTTCCTTGGAGTTACAAAAAGGAATGTAGAGTTTGACAGAGGCCATGTATGTACTGTTAAGCAACAACTAAAAAACATAAATGAATGCTTCCTGCTGGCACAGTAAAACTAAAGATTTTGGCTTTTGCACAGTATGAAAATGTTTAATTTGATTTGCTCAGCATGACTTACATCAGATTAAAACAACAAGGGTCGGACTAATGTTCTCGCTTTTAAAACAGTTATTTAACAGTTAGTTTCTAGTAAAGTTCATCCAAAAATTACCATTACCTTTTTTTTTTTTTACTTGCCAAAGCCAATTTTACTGTTGGCGCTTGTTGAGCACTCATTTGGACCTTTATACCACAAAAAGGTTTTCAGTCAGCAGATTTTAATTTGGTTATATATTACAACTATTAATATCAGCAATAATACAAATAAAAATATATTTTTAAAAATATCTTTATTTGTTATACTCAAACAATGATAATGCAATTTCAGCTCTGGCCCCCTGGTACCCCTTAAATCATTTGGATGCAGCATCTATTTTACTATGCACACAGAATTTTAATTGAAAATATTTTTGCTGATCCTTTGCAACCTTTTTATGGCTGATTGAGCCAAGAAGTAGTAAACTCTATACAATACACTATACTAATTATTTCTCAAAGTTCACAGGGATGGCACAACGGGATTTACGCAGAGTGAGGATAAAGATTTTTCAGCTTATTTCCATGACAATTAATAAACCCATATATAGCAGTACTGGTTACTGCTCTCCATAGTGCCAATTAATGGGATTGCGAATTTAATGGATGTCCAGCAGGTGTTTGACACACCGGGAGTATTCTCCCCAAAACACAGTAGTATTGCTCAGTTAAATAGGTCTTTAAATTTGATTTAATTCAGAATTGAATTAATTCTGCATATGAATTCAGGACAGAAGGGATAGTTCATAAAAAATGAAAACATTTTAAAAATGTCTTTTTATGATTTCATTTTGACTAAACTATACCTTTAAGACTCGTATATTTCAGCAACATCATATAAAAATGTATATTTTACAAATCTGTCTATTATTATTTTACTTAACATTAAAAAAATTAAATCCTCACTTGCCTGGTTTATGCTACTCTGAGCAATGTTTGAACTTTGTATTTTGAGCACTTCTTGTGTCATTATTGCCTCTTCATAATGACATGTTTGGTTTAGTCCTTAGATGTAAGTCGCTTTGGATAAAAGCGTCTGCTAAATGACTGAATGTAAATGCATATTCGGTAGTGTAAAATGTCCACCAATTGTGATTAAGACCATCTTCATTGCTACTTGAATGCCCTCTGCATAGACCAAGGAGATTTTAATAAAACAAAATTTTTCACAAACAAAAAACAACAACAATTTTTATATTTAGTGTGTTTAATCTGTTAGGAGAATGACAATTACCTCAGATGGCTATTAGGCTTGATTGTAATTTAACAGCTCAGGTCATTGTGTGTTCAACAGAATTAATATGTATTTGCGTGGAAATCTAATCATGCTGTTTTATTAATCAAAACCTCTGGGCGAAGTGCATCCACTCACTTATCAAATAATGCTCTCTTGCTGCTTGAAGAGATGGTTATGTCTTTTTCCCAACCTGTATGAATTTCTTACTTCCTTATTTAAGTTTGAAGACTTGTTCTGGTCACTCTTTGCAACGCAATTACAATAAACCGGTACGGAGTCGTTAACAAATAAATCAGACCAGTTTAAGAACTGTAAACTGATTCGTTGAAAAGATCCGAATCAAATCTGAGATTACATCTTCTCTCATGAACTAGGCAAGTAGAGTAGAGGCACTTAGCAAGCTTTTCAGTGAATAAGGATTTATTTCCAAAGTATGGCTATTGTATGGAAGTGTGGTGGCATGGATATTTTTATCCCATTGAAATAAAAAAAAAAATCTTTTTAGAAAGCAAGTCATACGGGTTTGCAAAGACATGAGAGTGAGTAAATGATTACATAATTTTCATTTTTGAGTGTACTATCCCTTTAAGGTAGAACTTTAAAAAAAGAGTGTGAGACACCATACACTTAGCAATACTTAAGAGACATGAATAATCGACGCAAGAGCAGCATCAGTGATCCTTTTTAAGATTAAAGTTTCCGAGCCTCAAGAGACAGCGGTTTGAACTGTCTTTTCTGGGCCACAGGTTGTACACGAGAGGCATACGTCTTAAGGTTAGGTGTCAGCATCAAGATGGATGCTGTGTATAATCGAACCAAACTTCTCATTTACTCTCTCTCTGCCTTTATCTTCCTTGTGCCTGTGATGTGCGTTTTATTAGCATGCTCTGGGCTACAGACAAATGCTGCAGTTGGATGCCTGGCACTGGGCTGCACTCAGGCATCCATCACTAGTGAAGGGGGTGTTTGGGGTCACTGGCTTATGCTCTATGTAATTACAGATGGATACCCACGAGATGAAATGATTTACAAGTGGAGGAGGAACTCAGTGCAGGCGGCTGATCAGAAATCATGGAGACTTTACCAGTTTGACTTCATGGGCCTGAGGAACACCACAGATATAATTAAGACAACTGCAGGTAATTTTCTATTCTGATCCAAACAATAGATCAAATGCAAGTATAATAATCAATTAAGGATGGTTATTTATTGGCTATTGATAAATATCATTTTTCGAAGGCTGATGTAAACTACCATTCAAAAGTTTGGGGTCAGTATTTATTTATTTATTTTTTTTAAAGAAATATCTTATGCTTACCAAGGCTGCATTTATTTGATAAAAAATACAGTGAAAACTGTAATATTGTGAAATATAATTACAGTTTAATAAAATCGTTTGTAACATTGTAAAAGTCACTTGATCAAATTATCACTACTGAATAAGGATTATAAGTAGTTATAAGTAGGTATTCATTTCTTTTTTTTTTTTAAATGCTGACCCCAAACTTTTGAACAGTGATGATGTAAATATCATAATGTATGCTTTAGAGCTAGAAATTCGGTTCAAAGCAACAGTTTCTAACCCAGGGGTTTTCATCCAACGATTTGAATAAAAATGATCAGTATAATATCTCCCTTTAATTTACATTATTAAATTATTAAATAATACCTTTTTTATGTCCTGGATTCATCACACCATTGTATTTTCTGGTAGACAGACATTTGTATTTGTTTAATGCAGGTTCTCTTACGAGAGGTTCTCTCGTATTGCGTAAGTTTAGCTTTCGCTACGGGAAAGATTAATCTTCTCAAGATACTGAAGCCAAAAAATGATCCTTAATTTTATATTCATTGTTAACGCAGGGCAGCAGCTAGCAGACCTAGAGCAGGCTGTCTAGCGTGCTCATAGGCTACCCTATGGGTACTGCAGCAGCCAACCAGTGAGCCCGGCATGACGTCACGTCCAATCAAGGGCGCAGCGACTAGCAAGCTTAGGACAGTGCCTGAGGAAGCCGGCTGTCTTCGCCACCTACAGACTTCCGTGCCAGCTACGCTATCTGGCGTCGTATTCTTTTTACAAGCTTTATTGCATCTAAAAGAGCCGAGCGTCTTTTTAAAGATGCCTCGTTCCACATGCGTCTCGTGCAGAGCCCAGCTCAGAGTCGGAGACCACCAAGTTATCTGCGCTCTCTGTCTGGGCCAGGAACACACTGCTCTTGCCCTCTCGTCTGGAGGATGTGAGCTTTGCGAAGAGCTTTCGATGTCGACCCTGCGGGCTTGACTCGGAGCTGTCAACACAGAAGCTGTCACTCCACCCTTTGCAAGACCCCGCAGAAAGAAGCGCAGCTCTCAAAGGCCGCTGGAGCCTGTGGCCATTGCGACTCGCTCGCCGAGAATCCCTCCCTTGAGCCTTGGTGCTCAAAGTCTGCCTTGCCGTCTAAAGCCTTCAGGACCACATCCGCTCTTATTTGATCACACCTACACCGGAAAAGCAGCTTCCGCCCTGCACTCAATGGCTGTTCTGCAGATCCTACAAGCCGATCTCTTCCGTGAATGGGACGAGAAAGGCCAGGACCCAGCTGTCGTTAATTACCTGAGAAGTGCAACTGATCTCTCCCTTTGCGCTAGTCCGCAGCTCAGGCCCTAAGAAGATGCATGGCCTTGTTGACTGTTACAGAGAGGCAGCTTTGGTTGACGCTGGCTGACATGAGAGTCTAAACGATCTGTTTTCTTTGACACTCCTCTCTCCCACACTGTTCTTTTTGGCCCAGCAGTGAACGGGATCGTTGACCATTTTTCTGAAGTTCAGAAAACCAGGGGTGGTGATGGCGCAGTGGATAAGACGCATGCCTTTGGTGTGAGATACACAGGGTCTAATCCACTGTGAGAAACCAATGTGCCCCTGAGCAAGACACTGAACCCCTAGTTGCTCCAGAGGCGTGCGACCCCCGTGCTGCATATATACAAATTGTAAGTCGCTTTGGATAAAAGCGTCAGCTAAATGAATGCATGTAATTGTAAAACCATGAATCTGTTCCTGCCTCGTCGTGCTAGCTCCGCTGCAGGTCGCCCACGTGACCAGCCGCCTACACGAGCCACAACACAGCGTCCAGCTCAGCCCAGACAGTCCAGCCATTCTTCGCAGCGACAGGACGGCCGCTCTAGATCACGCTCAGCAGACCGCACCCCCCATGTGGGTCGCGGCCAAATCTTGCCGCAGCCGGACCACCGTCAAAGCTTTCGCCCTGACAGTCCACATTTACATTTAGTCATTTACAAGACGATTTTATCCAAAGCGACTTACAACTGAGGATTAAACCAAGCAAGTCATCGTGAAGAGGCAAAAACAACGCAAGAAGTGCTCAAAATACAAAGTTCGGACATTGCTCAGAGTAGCATGAGCCAGTCCCCTTAACACAGGCTACTGCAGTGAGTCATTCAGCAGCCAACGAGTCGGTGACACTACCTGCTCACCTGCACACAACTGTCGCATAATGTCTTTAGCACCCCGTACATTCACAAAGTGCATGGATGGGGCTCTCGCCCCCTTGAGAAATCAGGGCATGCGAATTTTGAACTATCTGGACGATTGGCTGATTCTGGCACAGTCAGTGACAGAAATATTGTCTTACAGAGCTGTGGTCCTCAGTCGTCTGTGAAACCAAGGTCTCACTGTCAACTGGACCAAGAGCTCAATACTGCCCAGTCAGTCAATTTCCTTTTTAGGAGTAGAACTAGACTCTATGGCTTTGACGACTTGCTTGTCCACACAGTGCGCGCGTCATGTTCAGCAACTGGCTGCGTCTTTCCAGAAGGGCAGCACCGTCCCTCTGAAGACATTCCAGAGAATGCTAGGCTACATGGCTTGAGCTGCTGCGGTACTTCAGCTGGGTTTGCTGTGCATGCGCCCACTACAATGATGGCTGGCCGTTCGTGTGCCACACTGAGCTTGGAAGTCAGGCTGTGAGCGGATCAGAGTGACTGAGAGCTACATCACAGCTGTGCAGCCCTGGTTAGCGGCCGGCTGGTACCAGCAGGGAGTGATTATGGGAACGGTCTCATAACGAAAGGTCATCTCAACAGATGCGTCCAACTTGGGTTGGGGTGCTCTCTTCGAGGGCAGACCAGTCTTTGGCCTGTGGTCAGACCAGGAAAAATTCCTCCATATAAACTGTCTGGAGATTATAGCGCTCGAGAACGCTCTGAAGCGTTTCCTCACGTTCATACAGGACCACCATGTCACTGGTAGGCAGTTCCCGCAGGGCAGCCTATGAGCACACTAGACAGCCTACTCTAGGTCTGCTAGGTGCTGTACTGCATTGACAATGAATACAAAATTAAGGATCAATTTTTGGCTTCAATATCTCGAGAAGATGAATCTTTCCCGTAGCGTAAGCTAAACTTACGCAATACTCATTCCCTCATCTAGAGAAAAGAGAGGTTACGTTAGGTAGCCGATTCGTTTTATGCTCTATAGAAGTGACCGACCAATGATATACTGTATGAGGTTATTTCTCTTGACCGTAAATGTATAGAATTTTTGTTATAGTATGTGAACCTCCTGCATCTTAATGTTATTTTTGGGGGTTAAAAATTATCCAAAATACATATTTGAGAAAATACATAACCAGCCAGTGTTCAAAACTCTGTGACTTAACTCAATTCAAAGCGGTAAGCTTGTAATAATGTTTTTAATTCCAGTGGTACTTGTGGATTTCCACGGGAGATTTAAGCATGTCTTTGCATCATTACGTCACATCTGTACAAATAAAGAAGGAGTCACGGCTAGTAGGCTATATTGTGTGTGAGGATGCTGGAGGTGGATTTTTATAGCCTTTTCTCACAGCACTTGATATAATTGAACCTTTCTGGATCTGCCATCAAATTGTAATCAAAGTTTAAACAACACACAATCACCATTGACAACAGATTCACTTGCTGTAAAATGCAAGAGACTTCATTCGGTCTTCGGTGTGGCTACAGAAAAAAACTAGACTGCAACCGGAACCATGCGAAAAACAAGGATACATATCGGAAGGAAATTACATGTAGTCACGCTATGCTTGCTTACGTTAACGTGAACAATTTGAGAACAGTATAATTATATAAAAGTATAAAATTATTACATTGGTCATACTTCCAAAAAGAATAATCTGTGATTCTGAATGTCAGTATCCACACTTCACATGAATGAAGTATAACTCCTGACTGCAGCTTTATTGAAATCTCTTAGTCTAGAAGATTGTAAGCTAAAATGTCACTTCAGTTAAAGTTCTACTCTACAGGCATTATTGAATGACATTTTCTCCAGGCTTAGTTAATCTTAGTGGGAACATGGTCAATGGCGGAATAATATTTTTTTTGTAGCTCAAGAATCTGCTCAATAGGGGTTATCTTCTCAATTGGAGCGCCCAGCGTTCGAACCGGAAAACTGGTCTAAGCATTTCCGTTTTTTCAATTCTAAACACATCTGTAGCTGCATCAAAGAACGTACAGTATCACTAAAATGACATAAGCCTAATGACAATCTTTAGTTCACGAACACAACACAATTTGTGAAAATCAAAAGCAGCTTCAAACACTTGTTTAACAAGAAATATAGTTCTATTTTTTTTACCGTCATTAATGTAGGTCCACAAGAGAAATATTAAGCCAGTAATTTAAGCTAGTCACTATACCGTAGGCAGTCGCTATCCATCCGTCGTCTTGCGGTGATAATGCAGAGACAAATACCGAAAGCTCAGTCGGTTTCTACTTTCACTTTCAGAGAATGAGCGTGTTTACATGCACATTCTTAACCCAATTATCCTGAATAAACTGACAATGCAGGTGGTCATGTAAACGCATTAACCCGTTTTCCTTTATCGGAGTCCAGTCATAAGTTTAGGTATAAACTGATTTTTGCCAGGCTACTCTGATTTCCCCCGACATTTAAAACACATGAACTCGCGGTCTTTGGGCTTATTGAAGTGCGCAATATGTGCTTGCATCCAGACAGAGAGAGCACTGGGAGGACAGTTACAAAAATGAGAGTCAGTTACAAAAATGATAAGGAGGATCTTTTTTTTTTCTATTTTTGTAAATAACCAGAAAAAGCAAAATAATGAGTAAATAAGCAAGTTAATAATTAAATAAGGAAACCCCGTCCCCCTCACAGGCTGATGATAGGACGATATGAAAATGGAACATATCGCCCAACACTACTACACTGTACCTCAGCAGATGACGGCCGGAAGTAGTTATACCCATTTTGTAGAACCCGGTTGCGCATAACCCCTATTGAGAGTTTTTGCATATTAGCTTCACCATTTGTCTCTACTATATCAAAAAAACACTTAAAAGTACCCTTGATACAATACAATGATAGATGCAATGTCAATAAAGAAATGACAATAAAGAAAGGGGAAAAAATCTAAAAGATTTGAATTAAATCAGAGCTAAGAGGATTTTCAAGGATGGTTAGTCTCTTACAAAATACAACAAAAAATAACTTAAAAAATTTTTTTTTTAAAAATGGCAGGAAGGCTTTCCAAAGAAAAGATAAAGGCAATATGTCCTTCAAATTTCAGAAGAGTTATAGGTTTGTTAATGAATGTATGAATAAAGTTTAGTCATGAAGCACAAACATGTATTTGAGACACCATGGGTTTCTTTTTTTCATTGCCAACTTATTCTTCTCTTTTAGGTGACTATGTGGTGATGACTGTATATTTTGATCTAAGCAGAAGAATGGGATACTTCACAATTCAGACCTATATCCCCTGCATACTTACTGTGGTACTCTCTTGGGTCTCCTTTTGGATCAAAAAAGATGCAACTCCAGCCAGAACAGCACTAGGTACATTCAGTAACTACAGGCATCTGATCCTTTTGTAATTCATTGTGTGACTTGATGTTTGTTTCTTTGTGGAAAAAAAAAAACTTCTTAAAAAAAAACAGCAGTATTAAAGATGCTTTCACATACAATATATTCAGTTAGTTTGGCCAATACACACTGCAAAGTTTTAAGGTTTAAAGTGCCACTATTATACTATTTTAAAGGTTCCTAGTTTTGCTTTGGTTACATAAATGTAATACAAATGTGATTTTGTTAAGAGTTTATAGATGGTATGAGATGTTAATTCCGACAATGTTATGAAGGATGATTCGATTTCTTTTAATTATATTATTAAATTAACTTGTGTTTATTTGCTCAAATAACACACTTGGCAGCTACAGATAACCTACAATCCAAGAAGACATACTATATGAGAATGAAAGACATTATAAAAATGTTTTTTTATAAAAAGAATATTTGTGTTTTCTTTTTAGTGTGTCCTTTTGTTCACATGTATTCTTGTTTCATTACAGTGCTTCATCTGTTTTTTGTTGGCTTTACTCATTTCTTTTATAGTTTCCTGCTTTAAGTCCATGTCCTGTCCTGGTAAATGTCACTTTTGTCAAGGTAATTTTTCTTTTTTCATTTTTCATTTTTTTTATTATTATTTATCAAATAATTAGACCCTGATCATGTTTAAAGTATCCCCATATTGTTCAATGAGAGGTCTGCATGTATCTTGCAACATAATTTAGAAAGGCTTTTAATCTGTCTCATGACGTAGCTGATTATCTTGCCACTCTTAGGCTGTCTTTTTCGATGACCTCGAGCACCCAGCAGATAAGTGTGGCCTGAGATGGTGTTCCTACTGAGTATTCTCAAGCTAACAAGCATGAGATGTGATGGTCATAAGAAAGGGATCATAGACTGACTTTAATTGGGTGTGTACACTGATCCTATAGCTAACTGGAAGAAAAGGCCCTGTGCAATCTATGTTTGTAAGAAGGAAATAAACTGGCAACATTCTCTGAGAAGAAAAAGAAGGATGAATGCAATTAATCTGTCTGACAAAAGAAGTCATTATACCTTCAGTGGAAAGAAAGGGAGTAGAAGAAAAAGTAGAGATTTGCTTTACAGGCACAGTTTGATCGATGAAGTCCAGAGAGAAAGGCAGCCAAGATAAAATGTGGGAGAGGGAGTGAGTGAGTGAGTGAGTTCACATCCGTGGAAATGCCAGGTTAGAACAGAAAAGGGTGTAGAAAAGACAGAACCCAGAAAAAAATAATGGGGGGTCAAGTACCGGGTGGTCAGTCAGTCTTTGAAGACATGACCAACTAAATCTGAGAATGTATTGCAGAAAATACAAATAAAATACAAAAAACTGTCTGTAGGTATGAATGTGCGTGTCTGCACGAGTCACAAGCCATGTAGGGTTGGGGAAAGAACTGGCAACCTAACTCGGAAGAATAATTGGACAGTCTCTTGCGTATGGCGATGGATGAATGAAATAATACGCAATAATTCATAGACTATCATTTTAATCAAATTAAATATAAAAAGAACCAAAAATAATAAAAATACACTACCAGTCAAAAGACTGGAGTCATGAAGATTTTTAACAATTTTACTCAGCAAGGATGCATGAAATTGATCAGAAGTGACAAAGACATGTACAGTATAATGATACAACATTTATTTGTAAATAAATGGGGGTTAGGGTGGAACAGGAAAATGATGTGGGGGAAGAATAGAAAATTACCAAACAGCCCTACCAGCCAGTCTACATCATTATTAACTATTTCATCCCCCAAAACCAGCAGCCTGGGTACCAGGAAGTATACCGCATTACAGATATTTGAACGTCCAGCCAGTTGTTATGTCGTTCTTATCCACCGCAAAAACTGATGAGTGAACTAATAAGACTAAAATGGAGCTAAGCAGTTCAGGAAAGAATGCCATTTTGAAATGCATATTTCATACACAGGCTTTTTCGACTCAGGCAGGCAGTCATTTAACTAAGTGCCACTGTAACAGAAGAAGTCAGTCTAACAGGTGAAGGTAATCACCGTGGCCAACAACAGCAGAGGAAAAAAAATGGGGTGCGAAATATTTCTCTGAAATAGAGGAAGCTTGCTTGTTTCCATAGAAACCCTTGCAAAACAGGGGCACAGTCACTGGTTCTCTGAGGCAACTCTAAATGTCCATGCAAGAGTGGAGCTAAGAATGCTTCAAAGATTCTTGGTGTTTGTGTGGGTGGATTTTTTTTATTTTTTATTTGCAGGTGTCTCTGTTCCTATCATATGCAAGAGAAGGACTTCGGCATCTGGACAGGTGTCAAATTGAAAGGAAAAACAACAATAAAGGCATATGATAGTGTTGTTTTAAAAAGAATACTAATTTGCGCTTTGCGGTAGTGTTGAATTATGGTGGTTAAAAGTTTTTCTCTTTTTCTTTCATATTGCCTGTATTAAAGACCGGACTGTCACAGAAAGGTAAAATAGTAAAGTGAGGATTCAAGTGCAGGAGTAAGGGTATTTATTAAGTAATAAAAAAACAAATCAAAACAAAACTACAAACAAAAACTCACCGTGGGAGAAAACATACTCTGTTACTAACGTAACCTCGGTTCTCTCTAGAAGAGGGAACGAGTACTGCGTAATATTTTACGCTAGGGGAAAACCTCTTTTCCATGAGATATTGAAGCCAAAAATTATCCTTAATTTTGAATTAATGTAAAATGCATTGCGGCAGCATGCAGACATAGGCAAGGCGGCTCGTGTGCCTATTGGCTGTCCTGCGGCAACTGCAGCAGCCTATCAAGAGAGGCCCTTGGTGACGTCAGATTGGGCGCCCAAGCGGGCGTGGCCTGGGCCTATGAATATAGCTCGATGGACTCAAACTTCAAGCCTTTAAGACGTGTATACCAGCGCTATGGCATCAACTATCCATCTGGACAGGCTCTGTTTCGATGTAGCTAGTCTCTTAGTTTTCATCGTTGTAAATCGGCAGGGCAGACAGGGAAATAACCTGTTTCATGTCAGACAAGTGGATTGGCTCGAACGGGGCACCTTTCATGTCTTCTAAAACCGTGGAAAGGTCCCACATGGGGACTGGGGGGGGGGGGGGGGGTCTGGGAGGATTCAGCCTCTTAGCTCCTTTAAGGAAGCGGATTACCAGATTCTTCACCAGTGACTGGCCAGTTGTAAGCGCTGCTATGGCCGCCACATATCGTGGATGGGGTTCTGCCCTTATCCAGTAACTCTTCAAGGAAGGAGAGAACTTCCGTAACCCTGCAGTCTAGGGGTGAAAAGCTTTTGGCTTTGCTCCAGCCAGAAAACACAGACCATTTTGAGGAATAGAGTCGTCTAGTAGACGTCACTCTAGCCTGCATGATCGTGTTTAACACTCCCTCTGGGAGGTTTCCGGGTACCCATTGCTTGTCAGCTGCATCAGAACTGGAAACCAAGATATATATATATATTTTTTTTACTGAGCATCAGTTTTCCCTGATTCGTTCCAATACCTGATGCAGGAGTGAGACGGGGAGAAAAGCAGAGAGTGGTCAGCGGAGCCAGACGTGAGCCAGCGCATCTTGGAGAAAAACTTCGGAAAAGTGCGCATTTTCTTGGGACGCAAACAGGTCTACCTGTGCTCTGCCGAATGTCTCCCACAGCAGTAGGACCGTCGGTGGGTGCAGAGACCATTCTCCTGCTAGAACATTGTTTCTGGACAGTCTGTCCATTCCCAAATTTATGTGGTTCTCTTAATGAGCACAGATTGTGCTGAGCGCAGACCAGGAGGTGTTCCTTCAGACTGTAAAGGTTTCGGGACCTGATGCCACCCTGGCGATTTATGTAGGCCACCACTGACATGTTATCCGAGTAGACCAAGATGTGGTGACATTTTTTGGGGACAAAAACGCATTAGCGCATTGTCGACTGGCATCATTTCTAGACAGTTTATGTGTAGGAGCTTCTCCCATTCTGACCACTGGCCAAAGAACGGTTTGACCTTGAGCAGTGCTCCCCATCCCGAGGTGGAGGCATCCGTGGACACCAGTCTCACACTTGAGGAACACCCTATTGTTACACCTGACTGGTACCATTTGATTGCTCTCCAAAATTTCAGAGCTATGGCGCATTGTAGATCGATCTTGAGGCGAAACAGACCGGAGGCCCATGCCCGAGGTGGTACTCACGCTTTTAGCCATAACTGCAGCAGGCGCATGTGAAGCAGACCCTACTGGAGTACTGATGATGCTGAGGCCACGAGACCCAGCATTTTCTGAAACATTTTGAGTGGAACTGTAGAGTTCAGTTCTCTGCCCAGAAAAGATATTTTCTGACTGGGAGACAGCAAACTTTTCGTCTATTTGACTTTGAGACCTAGATTCTCGATGTGTTCAAGTAATGTGGTTCTGTGTTCTATGAGCTCTGAGTGTGATCGAGCTAGAATCAGCCAATCGTCCAAGTTGTTCAAAACTCGTATGCCCCGAAGTTTCAGGGGAACGAGAGCCGTGTCCATACATATTGTAAATGTACACAGCCCTACTGTTCAGCCTGTCCCTAGCACTGTGTATTGATATGCCTGGCCCTCAAAGGCGAATCTCAAGAATAGCCTGTGATGTGGCGCTATTTGGAAATACGTGTCCTTCAGATCTATTGACATAAACCAATCCCCTTAGAAAAATCTGTGTGAGGATTTTCCTGGTTGTGAACATTCTGAACTGGTGTAGACTGGCCATGCTTGATTACCTTATAGCAGTTTGTACAGGAATACAAGACAAGTCATGTGCTCACAACAAACCAGACTAAACACAAAACACATGATAAACAGATGGCTAGAAGATATAAATCAAACAGAGGTGACAGAAACCCTGGCACTGCCTATGTAGAGCAAGTCAATCACTTATGATGTTCTATTTAGACTAGTGTGGAAGCTCACTAGATTTTGGAAAAAAAGCTATTTTTTTATTTCTGTCCAACAACAAACAGTGCAATGGAGTTTTAGATGGAACTTAATCAGCTCTGCTCAGTGAAAAAGTATCGCATAATTAGGTTAGAGCCAAAAAATAATAATGTTTTGTATTCAGCCGAGATATCAAACTACATTTTACTCATGCTAACCATGTCAGCGTACGCTTTAGATGATTTAGCTCATATTTTTCATTAGCAGGAATTTCCCTTGTTACCAGTCTTTCCATCTAATATCCTCTTCTGATTATGCAGGAATAACAACAGTATTAACCATGACAACTCTCAGCACGGTGGCACGGACATCACTACCCAGGGTCTCATACGTCACAGCAATGGACCTTTTTGTCACTGTCTGTTTCCTGTTTGTTTTTGCGGCTCTCATGGAGTATGCCACGCTAAATTATTACTCCTACAGTGCTAGCAAACCAACCTGCAAAAAGACAAAAAGATCGGTGAGTACCATGTTCTGCACAAACCAAGAGTTTATGCTGTTCTTCTTTTAGGAGATAGCTATGCATCCAGTTCACAGATATGTAAGGGATTTTTTTTTTCAACTGTCAAAGTTTCATGTCCTCCATGCACGTTAAAATGAATACGGATATCTTCCAGGGCCATAATACAGTCAGAAACGAGAGACAGTGAAATGATACAAGAGATATGGAAGTAGCAATGGAAGGGTTTAGCAGTAATTATTAATTATATATATATATATATATATATATATATATATATATATATATATATCAGTCAGTCACAAATAAAATACGTTGTTTAAATTATTACTGCCTTATTATTATTTTGTAATAAATGTAAAAATATTAACACTAACTTGATGAGATTTATACTTGTTTTTTTAAATTCAATAAAAATTAATTTTAATACAAAACCAGAATTGTACCTCCGATGACTACTTCCAGCACTATAATGCACCATGTCACAAAGCTTGAATCATTTCAAATAGGCTCTATGCACGATCGCTTCCGGGTTTGTCTCAGCATGCCCAGTTACATCCGGTGCTGCGTCAGAAGCTGGTTTTGCGTTAGGTGGGGATAGTGTCAAATTACACTCGCTGTTTACAAAAACTGCCTGCAGTTATCGTGAATGATGTTAACAACACTGTGAGGCAGTTAGCTGTCACCCAGTGTAAAAAAGAGAAGTAAATTAAATTTTATGTTTCGAGCTACAGTACATCAAAAACTTTGAGGGTGAGTCTTCTTCTCTCATCGTGCAAAATCCAACTAGCGAATCAGTTTCTAAAATCGTTGTCTCCGTTTCTGAGAAAATTAGTTTCATTAAAGTTTTGCCTCTATGTACTTTACATGCAGAATGCGCTTGCGGAAATAAAGAGGCTGGCTGAGATTCTTTTGGACATACGTCAGCAGGGTTTGTGCATAGAGCGTATTGGTTTCTTAAAGAGCCCCTATCATAGCATTTGAAATGTTCCTATTTTTGTTTTAGGAGTTCCCAAAAACAGTAACATGCATGCATATTATAAGACAAAGTGTTTTTTATCCTTGCATTTATTTGTAACTGATTTGCTCACCGACTCCCAAATGATTCGTACAACGACTCATTTTTCCAAACCACTCCTTTGCGTGATGCTAATCGGCGGTGATTGGTCAGATGACAGACCCAGTCAGTTATTGTTTGTTAGCATAACGCATAAACATATTGATAAAGCACTGCAGTACTACAAGACGCTCTATTCTTTATGACAACTCCAATAACAGCGACAATCATTTCACATATTTAAAAAGATTGACATTGGAGACCTAGAAGCTGCGCTGAGCGTAACTTACACACATACTTATTGCGCCTTCCCTCCTCGCGCCCAACGCTACAAAACCGTTCAAAACCCATAAAAGCAACAATTAAAAATAATACTTACAGGTTGTGATTCATAGGAGGAAGCTGACACTGGGTAAGTAAGTTACTGAGCCCTCCTTCAGGAACAACCGCTTACGAATCCACATTTGAATTCATTTATGTTTTTGAATGATTTGTAATTAAAATGATGAGAACACAATCGGGCTATACTGTTGTGGTATCGTTGCAAATATGAACTCTAACCACCGATTCTTCACATGCTCGTCCCTGGTAAATGAAAACAAAGTGGCTGAACTATCTATGCATTGTAGAACACAGCGTCTTCTCGACATGATGCTATGATGAAGTATTTGAATGTGTGGACTTCATACACTTCCGTCTGCACGCGCAGTAACTGGGCGTGGCCAATGACCTCTCTACGTCACGATGTAACAGCTAATGACTCGTTTCAAAAACAATTCATTTCATGAGTCGACTCAGAGTCGACTCTCACTTTTGAAAGACAATAACTTTATATACAGTGCACTTTCAGATATAAATCTTGCAGGATGTTTTCATTCTCTTAGAGCTATATTCCACACCATATGAACAGTCATTTTACAAAATCCATGATAGGGGCTCTTTAAACATGACACTGGGCTAAAATGGCCCCCACAGTCACCAGATCTCAACTCAATAGAGCATCTTTGGGATGTGTTGGAACAGGAGCTTCGTGCCCTGGATCTGCATCCCACAAATCTCCATCAAATGCAAGATGCTATTCTATCAATATGGGCCAACATTTCTAAAGAATGCTTTCAGCACCTTGTTGAATAAATGCCATGTAGAATTAAGGCAGTTATGAAGGCGAAAGGGGGTCAAACATATAATTATGTCAAAATATATACAGTATATACAGTATATATATATATATATTTACACTCACCTAAATATCTATATATTAGCATATATATAAACACATACTGTATAAAGCAGTACAACGGTTAATGAAGTACTCAATCCCAATCCAAATCAAGTATATTGATATGTCAGGTAAGTCATTAAATCATTACTTTTACCCTTTCAAATACATGAAATATGAAACATGAAAACTTTTCAGGTAGAATCTATTATTGTTGTACTTTTAGAACATAGCGATGTACCATTACCCTCAAATATGAGGGTATGCAGATAGAAGTCCCTTTTCGCATATGTGTTTGTTATAGGGGATCTCTCGAGATGGTATGGAAATATTTAGGCTGATGTTGTTAGTCTTTTTCTATGTGTGTAATGTGATGCTAAATTATGGTTGAGCAAGCACGTCTTACTTTTTATTCATTGTGTTCCTCCAGTGGCGGTCTCCGCAGGTGAAATTTTCCCACTCTCTCGCCGATCACTCATTTTGATTAGATCTTATCTCTGCTGAGAAGCACGGATAATTACCATCGCAATTTTACACGAAACAAATATTACCCTATAGGTGATCTTACATAGATTATCTTTCAGTTCTGTAATTACCATGCTTTGCTAGTTATGTCACCCATAATGAGACAAATAACTGGAAATAAGTGGTAGAATACTATTGGAGATTTTTCCTTGTGTGGTCTAAAAGGGTTTAGAGAATGAATTTAGACAACCATGCTCAGATTTTGAGGTCATTGTACCTGGCCGTAAGAGATTGATGCTGCACTTGACTAGCCCACTGAAGGGAACGCTGTTAGTTCAAGTGAGTGGGAATCTCTTAGAAGACACCATGATCTTATGCTTTGATTGACAGCCCACTCTGAAGGATTTGTTTTGCTCATGGCATATATTAGATGCACACACATAGACTTCAACTACAGATTTGTTGTTCGATTGGATAAAATATTGTGTACAGTACATGCAAAACACATCCAAATATATGACTCCAAAGTTTGTTGTTGTTTTTTGGATGCATATTGCAAAACGAGAGCCCTTCAAATTCTAAAAGGATATTGTTTTTGTCCAACAGAACTACTCAGTACTGGCTGTGGGTCCTCCTCCCACAGTTATCACGCTCAACAACTCCATGTACTGGCAGGAGTTTGATGATGCCTGTGTTTATGAGTGCCTGGATGGAAAAGACTGCCAGAGTTTCTTCTGCTGCTACGAAGAGTGCAAAGATGGAGCATGGCGAAAGGGCCGTCTGCATATAGATATTTTGGAACTCGATGCATACTCTCGTGTCTTTTTTCCCACCTCTTTCCTACTGTTCAATATTGTCTACTGGGTAGGCTACTTGTATCTTTAGCAGTCCCACACACAACACGACGCAAAGGACTTGACTTTTGGTTCTGTCAGAGCATAAACAAGGAATAGACTGAACCAGGACTTTCAAGGTACAGTAAAAAAAGAGTGGATACTGGTTTTCAGAGTTGAGCTGTGGTAGTACAAGGACTTCTCCAGAAGAGAGATGAAAATTAAAAATGAGACTACAGAAACCGAAAGCTACAGCAGACCTATCGAAACCCTTAAAACCAGGCTGTTTTTATATGGTCAGGAAGGATATTTCCACAAGCTCTTCAAGGAGTTGCAATTCTCTGGCAGAGATATTTGCCTTTTGTTCTTCAGGTACCAGGGGGATGAAAAGATTCACAAAGTTCCTCTCACACAATCTTATCTTTTTATGGTTGAGAGAGCAACTGGAAGAAGTCAAGGTGTGAAAAAATCCTTAGGCCAAGTCAGTGTGAGAAAATAATGCCTTGCATAGCATGTGACCCTCTGACTTTTGGTGTCTCTTACAATCCTGGTAGATCGTTCACATGAATGGAAACCTGTCATCTAGCCATCAGTCAAAACCAGACCGGCTTTCATGTAAGCGGAGCTTTCAGAGCCATCTATAGTGCCTTCCACTGGAGGAGAAGCCATCAGGCAGAGAAATCTTAGAAATGATGGCAGGAGCATCATCTGGTCTTGACTGACCGCTGATGGTTTTGTTTTGGAGTTTCTTCAACCTTTAGTTATAGTCACCCATTATTTTAATGCATTCAACATGTCTAAACCCATTGTCACTGCATGTTATAGTATTAAGCTCTACCCTGAATCAGCACAAAAAAGGCAAGAGAGTAGAACCATTTTGAAAGATTTGGAATATTAATTAGTATGTAGATTGCAAATGTTTGCTTATATTTCTAGATTTTTATAGCATAATTTTTCCACACAAAAGAGAGGTTATTGAAATATTAAATTAATATATTATACAGTAGACTATATTTTATTTTGAAATGCCTAAAGTCTATTAGCATCAGTTTATTAGTTAAAAAGTGCATGCATAGAATGTATCATAAGTTCCATAGACTCTCACCCTTCAGTCTAGTTGGCAAAATAGTTGCCATCCATGTCTACGCCAAGTACAGCAAACGCAACACCGCCCAAATGAAATCAAGGAAAGTGAGTGTCTCCGGATCTTTATGGACACATTTGCATTTGCAGATTTTATTATTCTGTCTAGGTCTTGCATCTACAGACCCAATGATATGATATATCGCAATACATTTGACACCTGTAAGTTCATTTGAAAAGTACAATTCTGTCATCCTTTATTCACTTGCATATACATTTTCCACTCACAGAATACAAAAGTTATTTAGTAGAATGTCTACTGCATTTTTCCCAAAAATAACAATGGGTTGTGCTAAAAAAAACAAAACATTTTGGCTGCACTTTGTTAAATCGTTAGTTCACCCTAAAATGAAAATTATGTCATTAATGACTCACCCTCATGTCGTCCCAAGCCCGTAAGACCTAGATTCATCTTCGGAACACAGTTTAAGATATTTTAGATTTAGTTTGAGAGCTTTCTGTCCCTCTATTGAAAATGTATGTACGGTATAATCTCCTTGTCCAGAAAGGAAATAAAGACATTTTTAAAGTAGAACTAAGAACTGTTCCGAAGATAAACGGAGGTCTTACGGGCTTGGAACAACATGAGGGTGAGTCATTGATATAATTTTCATTTTAGGGTGAACTAACCCTTTAAGGTGACCGTGTTACAGTGTAATTATACATTTAAGTACCGAGTAATAATAATTAACATGTACTTACTATAGGGTTTGGATTGGGGATTGTTTAGGGATAGTTTATAGTTATAACTATAGTAACTATGTGTAACATGTAACAAGGGCACTATAAAATAAAGTGTTACCAAAAAAAAAAAAAAATCACACAGGTTTGGAGCAACATGAGGGTAAGTAGATAATTACAGATTTTGTTTATTTATTTTTAGGTGAACATTTAATAGTAAGATTATAAACACAATCAAAATCGTTATTAGTAACACCTAACACAAATGTTTCAAATGATTGCATCATTGAAATAACAATGAACAACACATTTTCAGCCATTGTTCATCTAGGTTAATGTCAGTTTATACAAATACGGATGTTCATTGTTAATTCATGTTCATTCATAATACATTAACTTGTGTTAATTTATACAACTTGAAATGTTAAAAATGAGTTTGTTTACATATAAATTAACATCGATTATTTTAACTTTGATCAATAAATCAAAGGGATGGTTCATCCAAAAATTCTGTCATCATTTAATCACCCTCAAATTGTTACAAACCTGTATGAGTTTATTTCTTCTGCCGAACACAAAAGAAGATGTTTTGAAGAACGTTGGGAATTAAACAGTTGATGGACCCCATTGACTTCCACAGTATTTTGTTTCCTACTATGGAAGCCAATGGGGTCCATCAGCTGTTAATTTATCTTCTTTTGTGTGCATCAGAAGAAAGATATTCCCAGAGGTTTGGAACAACCTAGGGGTGAGTAAATGATGACAGAATTGAACCTTTTGAGAGTACTATTCCTTTAAGTGTATTGTTTATTGCTAGGTCAAGATACCTAATGCATTAGTGAAAGTCAGTGAATTGGAATATGTTGTAAAGTCATACCAAACATTCTTCAGCACACAGCAGTAAGGAACCCTACATAATCACTGTGCTCATTACCAAACTGTAATTCACAATAAGAGTTGTTACTGTGTTGCCTTAGGGTCGCCTGCACAGAGATACTGTGAGATGATCCATTAGGAGGGATCAAATGGATTAATATGAGGTATCTACTTCAAATTATAGTCATTACCAAAGGATTCACACTAACTGAAAACATTCTGAGGCAATCACAAGCTTTTTTCTTTTCTTGATTAATTATTTTGTAGTCATATCTTCATTATCATTATTGTCTCATAGGTAAATGCTAATGTGTGATGCACACCAGAGGCAATATTATTGTTATTTTCTTTCGCAATGATTGTAGCATTTTTTCCCCTCTCCATCTGGTACTACTGTGGTGGGCTGTGGATTATACCAGCTTCAGCTCTAATACATCTGACCTACAGACGGTATCAACATTTAATCAATCAAATCCTTCCCACCCGCTCTCTGTAACTTTAATCTTTGGAGTCAGGTTTTTATTTGATTTTATCTTTGACACTTACTCATTTTAGTTTGTGCCAAGCGTCTTTGTAAGATAATATTTAGGATTGGTAACGATATTCTGAATAACCAGAAATGTGCTGTGTTTTTCTGCCATGCCGCTTCTCCTCTTGCATTTCATGACGCTATAGTGATTTTTTCTGTTGTGGCTTTTTGAAGGTGTCAATCCACTGTTGACCAGTTTTTGCAATTCTCTTTGATGATAATCTGTGAGTGCTTCAACATGTTCTTATTGCAGCTGTTAATTCAGTTTGACGTACAATAATTATTAGCTGTTCATTTATAGTGGTGCTAGAACTTCAATCCATCATCCCAGATCAACCATCAGTCGAGAGCAGCGGTATTTGCTCTTCACACCCAAGAAATCTGACTTTGCCTAAAGTTCATGTTAGTTACCTAAAGCCATATGCTGGAATTAAATCCAATTATACTGCTTTTTATAGTGGCCTAGTAATGGCATTAATTTCAATGACAAAGTACACCGAGGAAAGAAATAGAAAAAACTTGAGCATTAGTCCTTGATGTATTTCAAGCGTATTTGGTCATGTTTTCTCATTGGGTGTTCACCATTCAAGCCAGGGGATCTTTTCAGCGCAACAAATATAATGTTTAGTTGGTTTGATTTTTTGTTTCCAAGGAGAAAAAGATTTACACATTCAAGTGACCTTTAATAGGGTGGATATGCTATATAACATGCATTAACTGAACACTCAGTACTCTGCTGAATGTGATTTCGCCAAATGTATTCCTGGATCAACACCTTTCTTTATCTTCGAACATCATTCTATCAATAAATCAGATTTGAGAGATAAGTTAATGTCAAGATTAGGCTTACAACCCCAACAAGGGTTTGGTGCTTCTACATCAGTGTTATTCACCCATCATTTCCCATTGATTTTAAGGATAAATTTGGTTGTGTTAAGGGGTAAGGATATGGTTAGGACAAAGGTTTTAGAAAGGAATGTTGTTCCAGGATCAACAAAATTATGTTGATCCAGGAACATGTCTTACTTGGCAAAATCACGGTGACCCAAATAGCATTTTTTCTACAGTTCAGCCACTAATCAGACCAGATAAATCTGGTTTTAAAAGCGGTCATTGCTTCCTTTCTTTTCTTTTCCTTTTTTTATTGCTTTCTTTATTTTTGACATCAATGAAATTTACTTGTAATTAATAAAACCTTCAAAGTGCAAGTTGACCGTTAAAGGCTGAATGCCAAAGAAATCTCATTCACTGATCTGCTATGAAGATGGCTCCCCCATTCATTGCATTAATTTTGCTTAATAATGTTGTTGGGACCTGTTTGTTCATTATAGTATGGTAAATTACAGTACAGCATAATTCCTCACTTTTGACAGCGTCCGAACGCCTTTTGTTTCAAGTGGTCAGATTAGTAGAAAACAATGTCAGTTGCCTGTACTCTTTTTGGGAATAGTCTTAAAATATAACCACTGTCCTGATGCCGATGGTAATAATACCATAATAATAATAATAATAATAATAATAATAACTCTTTTCTCTATTGCCCCAGTCACACAGGCACAATTTGTGCACCTCTTTTTTTCACATTAACACACAATCTTTCATTGTAGATTATTGCTTTGTGTTTACAATGACAATTTGGTGTCTATTTTTCATGTTTCTATGGTTTGTGAGTGCTCACAATGTGCAGTGTTGTCAGTGGGGTTGTCATTTGGATTTGATAATAGAGGGTTTATGTGAGTTTTGGCCTGTCTGTAAACTCATTTCTATTTCTTGTGATATTTTCATATATGTAGTTCTTTTACAATTGAATTGTAAAGTGCAGAGGTGGATCAGAAGATGTGAAATAAAACTTTGTTTTCTTTTTCCCATTTCTGTATATCACTGCAATCTTACCTGCACTTTATAAGTGACTTAGTTCAATGTATTTACAACAAATTAAAGGTATTTTGGAAGTAGGAGTTTCTTTTGCTAGCTGAAAGATTTGACTCTTCATTCATTCATCTGTTTTTATAATCTCATTTAACACGGTAATTAATGGTTCTATTTGACTGATGTATGAGAATGAGTCGATTCCACATTGATTTCTGGCCCAGAAACAGCCTCAGTGCCTATGCATCAAAATAACAATTGTTCATATTCAGTGTTATCTACCCTCTTAAAGGGATAGTATCCCTAAAAATGAGTATTGACTTCATGTTATGGAACGCACAAATGTTCTTTTTAGTTGAATTTTCAATAAATCAGTTGATTCAGTACAGTTCAGAAGGAATTATCCCCCCCAAATGGGCCAAATGGGTTTGGAACGACATGAGGGTGGACAAATAAGAGCAGAATTTTTTACTTTTAGGTGAACTATTCCTTTAAAAACTGCTTCTGCGTTCTCATGTGTTCTTGATGCAGTGCAGCTTACTCAGCAATAGTTGACTGATAAAACGGCATCTCAGCTAAAAGAAAATCACAAAAAAAATCCTATTTTCTGATAGGAAATAAACAATGAAAACATCAGAAGCAGTAAGCATGTGAAACTGGGGATCTAAAAGTAGATAAATACTGTTAGTGATTCATTACCAACCTTGAGAACGCGGCATCTACTGTATAAAATTAACAGAGAGACAGGTGGATGATTATATTTTATAATGTCACAGATCAGATTCCCTGGGCAAACGAATGGATGATACATGACGTCAAAATAAGAGATAATGATGTATCTGACATTTCATCAAAAAGATGTCCCACTAAAGTTCACTAACCCGGGAGAGCCGTGTTATTACACTTTAAATCACACTTTTTTAATGTTTTTTTGGAGAGGAAAGGCAATATCAAATGGCATTTGTAATATGACAAATGATATAGAGGGTTCAAACACTAGCCCTTGAAATTGCGTCGGTGAAAATTCTGATCTTTTTGATGAATCTCTTTAGAATTGAATCAAACACAAAATACTGCCTTAATTTAGACAACATATAATACAACCTAAATTTGGTTGCCATCTAACTAAAAACTGTAATGTAGCAAGCAAATTGGGAGTGAAATTAATTTAAACATGTTTGAAATGTTCTTCCTGCCTCTATTCTGATGAGGCCTGAATCTCTACCACTAAACTTGGAATGGTTGCCATGGGAACATTGTTCGTTCTGTGTGTAATGAAGTGAAGCCAAAGATGAGAGATGACTGATCTGGAACTGGAGTTTCTGACCTACTTTTTAAAGACAATTTAACTCCTTGTCTAACTTACATGCTGTTTGACATAATCAGTAAACTCTCACCAAAGATGAGTTTATCACATTGTGCCATCACACATTT